GATGAAAATCGACCGTTAAGAAGAAAATAGATGGCCTTGGCGATTTGGGCAAATTGTGGTCGCTGTTCGTATTGAGACTGACTCGTGAGCAAATAATGAAGATAATATCGCTCATGATATCCATATGGAATGCATCAATCTCGACTAGAAATCGTTGCGGCTTTGTATGGCTTGTCAATCAATGAAATTGATGGAATTTTTTCTTTTCGAGTAGAGGAAAGTTTTTGTTTGTCATCTGCAAAACCAACAATATGTTCGTTCGTGTAGCGACCTGCGCTGCTCTCCTCGGAGCACATGGCGTCTTCGCTGATTCAGAGCCGCTGATTGAGGTGGCGTTGGCTCCACCGGTGGGAGGCTCCGCAGGCTTTGCAAACTTCGCAAAGCAAGAAGCATCGATGGAGGCATCGGCACTGCAGTCGCTGTCGGGTGCATACCAGAGCGCGATCGCCTCTGCCAAACAGCAGATCGATGCTGCAATCAAGGGCTCTTTTCTGCAGAAGAGGTCCGATGAGATCTTCGTGCGTGTGCTTGATGCCCCGGCACCTGCAAGTCTTGGACGCGCAGAGGCCATGGAGGGAATGCGCCAGAAGATGGAGAGCGCCTCTATCGCACAGGCTATGAGCGAGTTCGATAGCTTGACGAAGGTGGTCGTTGGCGAGTTGCACAACGCTCTCCACAGCAGCTTCTTGCGTGGAGGTCAGATCGGCGTCAAAGTCAAGGCATCGGATATTCCCTTCGCCAGCACCCTAGACTTGCTGCGAGCACAGGAGACTGGCCGCGATATGTCTGAGGAAAAGTTGCAGTCGAAGGTCCTGGACATGCAGATCGCGTTTGTGAAGACGCTCAACGGCATGATTGCAGCTGCTCTCGCGTAATTCTCGCTAGGACAGATGGGACCATGATGGATTCTATGACCGATAGTGTGAGACTCTGGACAATCGATGATGAGAGACTCTGGCTCGAACTGCAGCATGAGCTAAGTCACGCGTATGCTTCGTCATGTTCGTCTTAGTTTTTCAAGTGTTCGTAAACTCGCACAAACGTCGCTATTTACTTATTATGAATGACATATTTGAAGGTTACATCAAACAAAATATTCTGCAAATATATCTGACTAGTATTTTTTCTTGCATTAATTCACAGACAAGATGTTCTTGCGAGCATTGGTTGCAATGATCGGAGCCGTGCTCCTCACAGGTGTGAATGCCCAGAGGGATCCCACACTTGACGATATTGCTACTGCAGCTGCCGCATACCGCCAGGCCGGACAGGCATATTTGCAAGCGAGCAAGAGCGCTGCAGCAGCTGCTGCCGCGGGGGCGGGTTGCGTAAGAGATGAGACAACCGGAGCCTGCACGTCTTTCCTCAAGTCCCGTTCTCCTATTGCCGGCGGCGTGATGCGTGGACTCATCGCGCGAGTTATGGGGGCCGATGCTGCGGACACCCCTGAGCGCCTCACGCAATCTCCGATCGTGCAGATGCACTTGCACGCTTGATAGGTGCATTGCCGAATCCGGTCTAGTGACATCCGTTGAGATCTCGTAGTTGCCGCTGCCGAGCGTTTGTTGCAATAAGGATTGATATGTCGATAGTATCACCAAACTGATGTACGCTCTGTGAGAATGTCGTGTTCTAGTGCTACGCTTATGGTCATTGAAGACCGAGTAAAGCGTGAGATCCCACGTACTTCGCATCGTTTCGTAATTGGCGGTTAGTCGAGTCAGTTTCAATCTTCAACCTTACGCTGAATGGCAAATTTCTAGCTAATCTGTTTTTCAAAACACGAAAAAATGATGCGCATCTTGGGACTCTGCTGCCTTTTCGGAAGCGCAGCAGCTTCAGTTTATCCAGGGAATGCGGCTGCGGCGGCAGGTGTTATCACCAGTGCATTAAAGAGTGCTGCGTCAGCCTCCGCTGGCAACGGTGCGGCTGCCGAAGCGAAAATGATTGCCGCGTCAAGTCAGGCACTTG